TGTCCTCAAGATTCATCTGTAGTGTAGTGTGTGTCCGGATTTACTTCTGTTTTTCAAGGCTGAATAATACTCCATTGTATATACATGCCACATTTATTCGTTCATCTGTTAATGGATACTCAGGTTGCTTCCACCTCTTGCTATCATTGTGAATAGTGCTGCTGTGCACATGGGTGTACAGTTACTTCTTTGAGACTATAAACTCTTTCCCTGAGATCTGTTAGCTTAAAGGAATAAACCTCAATTACTTTTTCAAATAAGTGTCTCTGTCCTGAATTTCCAAAGATCTTAATTTTATTTAATGGAACATTTTTCTTTTATATATAATTTATTCTCACATAATAAAATTTGTATTTTGGCGTAAGCTGTGGAAGTGTAGTTGGTCTGCTTTTTTGATGTGATAAACCCCTGGAAAAATGTATATGATAAAGTGGAACAAGCTCCCTCAATGAAGAAGCTCATTTCATCTTGAAAGAAGAACTTACTGTATTCCTTAAATTGTCTAGAACTGTGAGTAACCTAAATGATAGACTGGAATCCAGGATACTACTGTATTTTGAAAGCAAAAGGAAGAGAATATTTAAAGAAAGAATGAACAGTGTTGAGTGCTTCTGGGCAGGCAAATGAGGTGATTCAGTGTCAGCTAGATTTCATAACACGGAGGTCACTGGTGACCTTAGCAAGGGTTGTTAGAGAGGAGTCATGAAGGCGGATCCCAGATGGAGTGAGTTGGATGAGTAGGAGAAAGGAAGTAATGGCAAATACAGACGACTTATTGAAACATTTGGCATTGAAAGGGAAAAGTAAGGATGATAGCAGAGGGGGATTAAAGGCATTCATTTTTTTAAAATGGCAGAGCCAGAAGCATTTTTAAAAGCTGATGGGAAGGATCTAGTTGAAGGAGACATTGACTCTATGAGAGAAGGATTAATTAATAGTATAAGTCTTGAGATGGTTAGTGTGGATGGGATCCAAAGCAAAGGTGAAGGACTTGATGTTTGATAGGAGGAGAGTTTCTTTCAATGTAATAGGAGAGAAGGAAGATAGGATTGGCTTGAAGTGGGTGCATGTAATTTGTAGGCATAGCTCTTAGAAAGATAGGGAATTCCCATCTGAAGCTTCTGTTTTCTCTCTAAACTAGAGTAGGTCACATGTTGAGAATTGTGGATTAGGAAGGGGAATTAGAGTTTTAATTATTAGAGGAAGAATAAATAGAGTTCGACGGAGTCATTGTAGAGGATGGTTGCTGGACTTTTGAGGAATGACATTGTCCTTTGCAGTCTGGTGATGTGTATTAAGGATAAAGTTAGACATCTGGTACTTGGGGAAAAATGCTAGCTTAACTTTTTTGCTCTTTAATTGTATGAATTTAGTGAGTTCCTACTAACTACAATGTATTTGTGACTAAGACAGTTCTCATGTAGCAGGAGCTTATAAGCTTATAGGGAACAGTTATTTATCACATGCAATAAGAAGTACAAACAGTACTGAAACTTCAGAGGTCATGTCTGACTTCAGCAGAGGTATGTCTTTAGGCATGGGAAAAATGTCAGTAAGTGTCTAAGGAGAGGTTATAGGAGAGAAAGGGATTTGTGCTGGAAAGAATGGAGATAAAAATATGTTGGTACCATGTTAATGGAATGGTGAATAGTCTAGTTTGTCCAGAATTTTCTTGATTCAGAGTGTCTCTATACAATATAAAACATTTCAGAGAAGTTTATGACTTTAAAGAAAATTTCATAAAAATATATGACCCCCTAAAGAAGTTTACATGCATAACTGTTTTAGGGAAAATTTATGAGTAGTCATTCAGTGTATAACGAGCTTTATTCAGCATTGTGATTTTCCAGTTTGGGTATGATGAATTCATAGAGCTCATTAAGTGTAAGTGTCATTGTTGTGATTCATTCAAGCCTTTTTCCTCTCTTCAGCAGAAGGTTAAAAAAAATTTCAAATTTGAATCCAGGACTTGAAGAATGCCAGTTGTCTAAATACAGTACCATATTGTGATAAATATAGCTATTGAAAATTTTAAAAATCTTTTCACAAAACTTTATTTTAGTATTCATAGCAGAACTTTTTTTGGAATGTTATCTGAAAAACAGAGGACCATTTTATCATCAGAGCTGACTATTAATTAGGGTATTGTTGCAGATATAAAAGTTGATCTGCCACTGAAATTCTATTTGAATATGTATAGTTCCAAGCTTGCTTTGTGTATTTAATAACTTTAGTACCATAATTACTCTGTTTACAATTAAATTTTAGTGAATATGCTAATATGGAGTATACCAGTGAGTGATTTCAGCAAAGGGCAGTATTGATTTGCATCTTGATGTGCTTTTCAATTGCATCTGCATTTCCTTTAATATCAAAGGAAAAGAAGTGGTCAGATTATGTAATGGATTATGTGATGCTAAATTCTTTTCTCTTTAAAACCTCTGTTGCATTGGCTACTATAATAGTAGATTTGCATTGAGTCAGAGGGGCTGGAATTATGTAGAAAGATTTAATTTTTGTTTAAGTTTGTGCCTTTCAGTGTATTCTTCAATAGAAACCTTAATGTAAGTATTGGTTTCATTATTAGAAGAAACTTATAATGGACTAAATGATGGTTTAATTCAAATTAGTATTTTAAGTTCTTCAGAAAACTCACTAACTTACTGAAGCAAATACTTGTGGTTATGTTATTTCTTTGAACAGGGACTTCTGGTTTTAAATAATTCCTCTTCTTTTGAGAAATTGCCTGAAAAGCAACAAGGAGATTTAGAAACACTGATTTCATATCCTCAGAAACTGAGAAGCTTTTGTATCCCTGAACCAGAAACTAAGGAGCTGCCAAATGCGGTGAAGGTCAAATAGGGTACAGGAGGATGCTGAAAGGGAACCTGAGACACAGATGTCAGAAAAGCTGGCAGAATTGTGTTCTCTAAAGAAAGTGGCACACCCTGAGAGGCACATTAATTAGCCTTTGTCTAGGAGAACAGGAATAGGTGTTGGCAGGCAGGGACACTAGGGAACTTGGGTGTGATAAAAATGTTCTCTGTCTTGGTTGTCGCACAAGTGTATGTACATTTGTAAAAATTTATCAGCCTACACTTGTGCAAGCTTGTAATGTATTGTCTCTCACCTCCAAAGTCAGCTTCTTTTGCTGTTTATATACTTGAGCTAGTCCTTTTAAATATTTTTTTCTTTTCCAGGACAATGTTAGGTTTTGTCAGTAGAAGGTGAGGAAGGGATACTACTATACTGCAAGATTCAGCAGAGGAAGGGCTTCTCTTGTTGCAGTATGCTTGTTTTTTGTTTGTTTCTCTTACTCTCTTAAGGTGTGGCTGTCAGCTCCGGTTACTCTCCTTAAGCTTCATTAGCACCCTGGTAGGCAGCTTCTTAATCCCACCTGTGGATCAGTTCCAGCCCACTGGCCCTGAAGAGAACTACTCTGCCACCCAGTGGGTCCCTGCCGCAGTCTGTCCAGTAAAGTGGGCACTCACCCTTAGCCTTGGAGACAGTAACTGCTCCCTACATTTGGTAGTTCCATATTCCTTCAAGTTGTCTTTTACATCTATTAGCCGTTGACTACTTTTTACGGATTAATAATTTTTTGTGTTACATTTTCTCATTTTCTGTCTCCTGAATAAACTCTGACTGTTATAATACACTTTTGATTTGTGTAACTTACTGTGTTAATTTTACATAAATAAACAGGATGAAATAATAAGTATACTTCTTGATTAATTTCCCTAACGGGAACAAATTGTTTAAACACCAAGATTGGGATGTAGAACACTACCAGATCCCTAGGAACCTTCTACCTCCAGCCATTTCTTCTGACTCTTAGTCCCCAAAATGGTATCTGCTGTTTGACTTGAATCACCATTGATTTGTTTTGTTTATTATTGAAATTCATATAAATGGAATATAATATGTGCTCTTCTGTCTGGTGCTGCTTTTTCTTAACACAGTGTTTGGTATATTCATCTGTCTTACTATATTCCATTTTCCTGTTGATGGACATGTGAATTTTCAGTTTGTGGCTGTTGTGAATAAAGCTGCTAGTGTCATTCTTGTACATGTCTTTGGGTGGACATGTGTATGCATAGAAGTTGAATTGCTGGGGCAGTTAGCAGGTACTGCCAAACAAATTTTCAAAATGATTGAAACAGTATACAGTATAGGAGAATTCTGCTTGTTCCACCTCCTTACCAACACTTACACTTTGTATTGTCAGAATTTTGTAGTTGAAACCTTCAAAACCTTAAGGAATAGATCAAATGCTACTTAAACTCTTTAGATTGTGGTAAAAGAAGAAAAGCTTCCAAAATCTTGTTATCAAACGAGCATAATATCGATACTAAAACTGATAAATATAGCGGAAAAAATAAACTACAGACCATTCTTATGAATATCAGTCTTGTCTGCGGCTGTACCACCCTGAATGCACCTGATCTTGTCTGAGTATCAGTCTTGTCCCTAAATAAAATATTAAATAGAATTCATCAGCACGCTAAAGAAATTACGACCACCACCAAGTATAATAGTTTTTTCTAGGAAGGTTGTGTTAAATAGCTCTATGTGAGTATGTGGTATACCAGCTGCATTTAAGTCTTTTGTGTTTCTCAAGATGTTAAAAGATAAGTATTGAACAAATATTCATTAATCCATTACCATTGTCCCTGCTTGTACCTGGCTGAAGCAGCCCCTGAGGACTGACAGGCCTGTTGATTGCCTGAGGCCACCTGAGATTATAGGGGCCAAGAAGAGGGAATCCTCCACATCTTTTTCCATTAGAAGCCACAGGAGGGAGTTTCATTTAGATATATTTTAAAGAAATATTTCTGTCATAGTGGCCTCTTGCAGAGCAACTGAGTATATTTCAGTGACTTCTTAACATTTATGTGGAGCAGGTTTAGCTGTGAGGGAAGTTTTAACCGAAGCACAAAGTTAGTTTCAAATGCTAGTTAGTAAATCTAATTTTCTTTATATTCTTTTTTTTTTTTTAGCAAAGAAACTGTAATCTAGAATGTACATGTGAACAACTTTATACGAACAATTTTTGTACTTGGTTTACTTGGATTGGTATGATACGTTTAAGTTCTTAAAAACGATTTTCATAGCACATACTGACTGAGGAAAAGAAAGAAAAAACAAAGCTGGATATCCATTTGGAAAAAGCTGGACTTTTCCTTCATGTCTTATACTAAAGTAAGTGCAAACAGATCAAAATGTTATCAGCAAAATATGGATCATAAAATAACCCAAAGAAAACATGGGATATTAAAAACTTATAATTTGACTGGGGGACGTCTTTCTGAGGGTAAGATGAAATCCAAAGCAAAAAATAATGCAGAATAGTTACTAATAAATAAATTGGGAAGACTCTTTGTAAGACACAAAGATTCTCTGTTTAATATGCAGCATATAAAATGTGCCTGTAAATAAAAAGCAAGACTAATAATTCAAAATAAAAATGGGCAGAGGTTACTAATAGTTTACAAGAAATCAAATACAGATTTTGCTTCTGAGTATATTCTTGTAATTTTTTTTTTTCGAGGGGGAGGTGGGAATGGACTGGACAGGCTCGTTGAGTATGAGAAGATTTCCAGTTTTGATCCCTTGGCAATTATTAATTATAGGAGCAATAATTACTTTGTCAAAAGAACCTGGTTTCTTTTCACGGGAAGTGGTATTTCAAGAATACAATTTGTGTGCTAGGGATGCTCTTTGCTGTTGGGTTGATTATTGTTTCTAAGCTTTTTAGTGAATGGGGCTAGGACATACAAAGATGTGTTTGTTAGTATGTGATTATTTTAAAGATACAGTCTGAATTAAAAATATTTCCAAGTACAGTATTTTTTTTAACTGTACCTCTTCTTTTATCTCTGTGATCTTTCCTTCATATCTGAATCCTGATTTTTAGGGACACAAGGGAATGATAGACTAATAATATCATATCATTCTAATTTGCATCATTCCACATGTATGGACAGAATAGTCTTAGTTAACAAAAGCAAGTATCACAATACGATTTCTGGAAAGTTGCCTTTTTTTTCATATGTTATCCCATTTTTTAATAGTTGTACTGTATCTACAGTGTCACTACATTTCCCTGTTATATGCTCTATCCTCTTTTTTATAACCCTTGTTGAGTCTCAGTTCTGCAAGTAGGTATGTACTACTCACTGATACTGACATTTCTTGAGTCATTTTGGATATTGCTATGGGAGTGGCAGACCCTTTCTGCTGGACTTCTTTTCTGGTGTATTCTTACTGCTGTTTTCTATACTGTTAACACTTAGCAATCTTTATACTTGAAATTTAGCTGGGTATAAAATCTTTGGTTCATATTTTTCTTTCTTGAGCCTTAAGTATTTTACTTTTTCCCCTCGGCATAAAATGTAGCTGTTAAAGTGATGACAATTTGATTTTATTTTTCTTATAAAATATCTGTGATGCTCAAAGAATATTGTCATTTACTGTTAACTAGATTGTGTCTTAGTGATGGTCATTCTGGGTCGATTTTTGACCTTTTAAAATGTAGTTTTATGGTTTTTTAAAATTAAGTTCAGGAAAGTTTTCTTTAATTAAAGGATTTTTAATATTCTGTTCTTTTGCTTTGATTTTCTTTGTTATATGTAGGTTGTTTTTTTTTTTCTGTTTTCCTAAACATTTTTCTTTTGGTCCTTTTTGATTTTTTGTTTTTTTCACTTTCTATTTCTCTTTCATTAAAAAGTTTATTTACTTTTATGTCCCTTCTACTTTAGTTTTTATTTCTGAACTGATTTTTGTCTTTCATTTTCAATTATTCTATCATCTAATTTCTGAATTTCTCTAATTCCGATTGAGGTTAGTCTGTATACAAAGTGTTTTTTAGCTTGTTTTGAAATACTAGTTTATAGCTGTCAACCTTTTGGGAGGCATGTTTTCTTATGTACTTTTCTGAAGGACTTTCTTTTCTTTCTTTCTTTTTTTTTTTTTAATACCAGCTTATTGTAGGACTAGGCTTTGATCCACTTTTGTTGCTGAGTTTCCTATGCAGCCAGTTTTCCCTTATATGCAATTAGTATTAGATGGTTCATGGTGAGTGTATGTCATTTCTTTAGATCTTACTCCACTTGTTTTTATGTATTACTCCAGGATACTGAGGCTAACTTATAGATCCACTTTCATTTGAACTTTGTTTTTCCTTTATTTGTATTATCCTTGTGATGCTCATTTTGGCTTTATCTCTAGGAGTTTCTGATGCTTTGACCTGGAAGGGGCCTTGGCTGGTTACTTTTGAGAGTTGTAGAGGCAACAGGCTTCAGCCTCTTCAGACCTCACCATAGACCCCTTACACTTCTGGCTGTGGGAATGGCAGACCCCTTCTTGTTTCAGTTACTGTTCTCATAGTGTCTTCAGTGCTTCTAACAAGTAGCTCCTGGTAATTTTGGGATTCTCAGATTTATCAGAGGCATCATACTTCTTTCTGCTTCCTTCATTACAATTGCTGATACCACACAGAACTTGTTGCTGTTTGTGATGGTTTGTCTTCACCTGCTCAAATTTTGGGATTTGTAGAGATTGGAGAGGTTATCTATGGGTTTTGAGTTTTGCTCTCCAGTTGTCCTGTCCGCTTTTATGGGGGAATTCAGGGAGATGAAACAGCTGTGCTGCAGCCTCCACCATGTGCAGTGTTAACCTTCAGGAGCAGTGATTTATAAGCGTATTCAAGAGATTGACAGCAATGATGCTGTTTTGTGGGACTAATTTTAGGAAAGAAAGTCATTCCAAGCCTTAATTAATTATTAAAATTAGTTTCAATTAGTTGGCCACAGAAATAAAACTAAAAATATAAGTAAACAGATTTATTTGGAGGAAAATCACTTTTTATTCACCACAATTTACATTGAGTAGATGCTGTGCCAGAATATTTCATTTAAGATATGATATTTTTGTCACTTCTGGAAAGGAATTTCAGAAAAACACAAAAGGTTGTCCAGTCACTATTTTGAGATATATAAAGATCAAAAACACGTTTTTCACTCAGTTTAAACTATTTTGATTACTATAAAGAAACAATCAAATAAGAGATTACTCTGATGATTTGATAAAGTTGGATAAAATTCAGAAGGGTGTTCATTTTAATATTTGGAAATACTGTGTGTTTTAGTTGTTTATTTTATTTGGTTTACTACCATAGGTGTAGAAGTAACCTTTTTTTTGGTGTTTTGAGTCTAGGCTCTCTTGGTTGGCACTGAAATTCCATTTTATAAGATTTTATCATGATTAAAAACACATTAATTAAGATAACTAATTGATATGAAGAAATAACTAATACATTTATTTTTAAGATGTTTTTGTTAACTTAGAGAAGATTTAGACAGCAAAGATGCATTAGTATTCTACAGGAAAAATCCAATTTAAAAATCCTTAGTAAATTAATAAGGAACATTTGCAGGTAAGGAGTTTGTGTATTTGGAGTGATAGTGGGTGAGTTGCTGAAAAATTCCAAATGAATGTAGTGTGTATGTAAGTAGCATATCTGGGCTCAGGACTGAACTACAGACTTCTTTCATCTGAATAGCCATTTCAAGTGTTTAACGATTCTTATTAACCTTCTTTGTTTATGTGTCTCCAGTATATTTTTAGGGAGCTGTGGAATCCCAACAAGTATTTATTTTAAATCTTTTTTGATTAATATTTGTAGAACTGAGAGTTTGAAATCACACAACACACACATGTTCACCTGCATACAAATACAAATTGAGTTTCTTCAGTCCATGAAGTGAGTTATATCAGAGGGCACTTGAAGCCCAGTGTGAAGTGACTTGATCAAGATTACCCACCAAACTGGTGTCATACCTGCAATCCAGGTCTTTTGATTCCAGTCTGTGCTTTTCTCACAATAAAACACCACTTTCTATGAAAGTTACGATAAACTTATGTGTTAGAAAAGCGAATCAAGAAGATGGCCATTTAGGAGCAGCTCAGGATTGCAGCTCCCAGTGAAAGCGCAGAGGGTGAGTGGATGCCACATTTCCAGACAAATCTTTATTGCCCACAGACCAGGAGATTCCCAGGTGGAGGAGCCCCACGGGTCACCAGTGTGGCTGTTTTGCCTGCGCCCCGGTGTGGCGGTTCTCCATACAAAATACACTGGTCTCGTTGCCCTTTTAAGCTGGCGATTGGACTCTGGCAAGGCAGAGTTGCCCATTCATCTGATTAAATAAGGGACTGAAACAGGGAGCCAGGCCAGGAGATTCCTGGGCAAAAAAACACCACAAATCTCAGCGCCATTGTTTCAGCTGATGCAGCGGGTTGCAACATGGGAAATCACACAGATCCCAGAAATCGCACAGATCGCCTCAAGGGAAATCGCACAGATTCCTTTTCAGCAGGCAACTGGAACACCAGGGAGAGAGCCAGCCATTCAACATTAAAAAAAAAAAAAGGCTCTGAGGCAGGGAGCCAGATGATCAGGCTCGACGGGTCATACCCCCACAAAAAAACAAACAAACAAAAAAATCAACCAGCAATTGGAAATGCTCTGGGTTGAGAGTTTCACAGCAAGCACAGCTGAACCTGGGACAGTCCAGCTCTGTGGAGGAGGGGGCATCTGCCATTACCGAGGCACTCCATCCCTACGGAAGGAGTCCACCATTGCCGAGGCAGCCTGCCATTGCTGAGGCAACCTGTCATTACAGAGAGAGTCCGCCATTACAGAGGTGGGCCACCATTGTTGAGGCAGTTCTAACCACACCCATATAAACAGGACTGCAGGGAAGCTCACATGGCAGTAGGGTGGAGCCCACAGCAGTTCAGCAAAGCCTCTGCAGGCAGACAGTGACTAGGCTGCCTTCTTGCTGGACAGGGCAGCCCTGAAAAAAAAAGGCAGCAGCACAATGGAAACTCATAAATAAAGCCCTGAGTCCCTGGGACAGAGCACCTGGGGAAAAAAAAGGGGTTTATGAGTTCTGTTGCATCAGACTTAAATGTACCTGCCCAGCAGCTCTGAATGAACAATGAAGCTCACAGCTCAGCATTTGAGCTCCTATAAAGTACAGACTGTCTCCTCAAGCAGCTCCGTGACCCCTGTATATACAAGGAGTCACCTCACAAAGGACTGATCAGATTGACATTTGGCAGGCATCATTCTAGGACAAAGATAGCAGAAGAAGAAACGGGTAGCAATCCTTCCTGTTCTGCAGCTGCTGCAGGTGATC